GAAGGTCAGGCCACACTGGGGACTGAGGCAGAGCTTGACCTCTGACAGGCAATTCCCCCTGATTTCCGGCTGATACATGACCCACGAGGCGGGGCAGGAAGGACAGGGAGGTATGCTGTTTCAGGGAGCTCTTTCTTTCCAGAGTCCACTAGACACTGTGTCCCTTCTCCTTCCTACTTTGTGGTCCGTTCACCGGTCTGCTTGTATCAGATAGGCAGAGCCCTCGGGGAACTGTTGGTACGTGGTGCACCATGTGTATGCCACCATCCACAGTTACTGCTTACACAGGCCTCAGTCAGCCCCCAAGGCAGCTGTTCCCCAGACCACAGCATAGCCCGCAGCACGGAGGACATGTTACTAATGCTCACATCACACAGACTAAAATCCTAAATCCTCACCATGGCTCTCAAGGCCTTATTTGATCGGACCCCAAAGAATTCTGGATTCATTGCCTTCTCCCTCCCCCTTACTATGTGAGCTTCAAAACCCCAGGCTGAAGTCTCAACTCAGGTACTTAGTAGCTGTGTGATTTTGGACAAGTCCTCTCTGAGCCAACATCTCCTATGCAAAGCAGAGATAATAAAAGTACTTGGGGGGCGCCTGTGTGGCTCAGGCGGTTAAGTGACTGCCTTCAGCTCAGGTCGTGATCCCAGGGTCCTGGGATGGAGCCCCACATCAGGCTTTCTGCTCAGCGGGGAGCCTGCTTCTCCCTCTCCCTCTGCCTGCTGCTCCCCTTGCTTGTGCTCTCTCTCTCTCTCTGTCAAATAAATAAATAAAATCTTTTTTTTTTTTTTTTTTTTAAAGTACTTGCTTCAAAGCCATGAGAATTAAGCAAGCGGATCCAGTGGAAAGCTCTTAGCATGTGCCAGACACATAGTAAGCCCTTGGCTACTATTTCTGCTTGTTTCCCTCTTCCTCTGCCCCTCTCAGTGCCCCCCAGCCCCACTGTATACATCTTAGGACCCCTGGAGGGAGCAGCCGCGGAGCCCCAGGCCTTCCATCTCCAGATGAGAATGCAGAGGCCACAGTGGAGGAGGACCCCACTTCAGGGTCACACAGCCAGCCTGTGGCCCAGGCAGGACTTGAACCCAGGCCTCCTGCTGAGGCCCCTGCTCCTTCTGCTTGTCCCCCCTTCTCAGCCCAGCCCAGAGCAGCAGCAAGAGGGACCTACACCTATGTGCTTGGACCCTGTCAGGCTTGACAGCTTTCTTCTCCACTTTCAAAAATGAGTTATGTCCTGAGGTCTGCTTCATGGCCCGTGTGTAATCTTCCTTATGATGCTTTATCGTATTTCTGGGGCAGTGCCTGCGTGGCTTTGAAGACTCTGGCAGGAGCTGTGAGCGGGCTGAATTACATTTACAAGAGGCCTTTAATGCCCTGTGGTCTCGGCTTCCTTAATGGGGATTTTCCTCCTCCTCCTCTTTTTCTCTCTCCCTTTTAATACAGTCCCCGGTGTGGCTTCCCGAGTGCGGTTTGGATTCCTAACAGAGAACTCAAGACCGTAGAATCCCTTCCAGATCTTCCCTCCCTCTTTCCCCTTCCTACCCTCTGTGGCCTGGGCCAAAGCCCCAAGAAAAGAAAACGTTGCTCCTGTCAGGATTTCAGTGGGAAGGAGAGAAGCCCTATTAGAATTCCAAAAAACTAGAATCAGCCGGGAAATGGCTTGTATAGAAATTCTCCTCTGACTTTGCACCTGAGCGGCAGACCACGAGCCTCGTGGAGGGGATGGAAGGTGTCCGGCCCAGAGGCGGGGTGGCGTCCCTTGCAGGGGGTGGGCACGAGGGGCAAGTTGGGGGTGCCTTACCAGTGTGGACAGGGTGCCCTCACCCCTGTCTCCCCACTTCTCCCACCCCCATCCCTTCCTTCTCCCAGCCCTCTCTGCACCTTAAGGAGGCTCCTTCATTGTCCCTTAACTATGAGTTTTCTGCTGGTTCTGCCTGCAGCGGGATCAGGTCTTACGTGATCGATGTATGTATTTGGGGACATCAAGCTCCGAAAGTGGATCAGCCTTGGGATGGGGTGGTGGGGCGGGAGGCAGTTTGTCTCCCATCTGCCTCCTTTCCTTTTCGTCCTTCGCCAGTATGAGGAAGGGCATGAGTGCTATTTTTGGAGAAAGGGTAAGTCATGTTTCATCTCCTTCCGGGAGGCACGCAGGGCAGAGCCAGGTCTGTGGGCCTGGGTCCCTGCTGCAGTCTCTCCTTTCACTTTCCTCCGTTGCTCCGACACATCCTTCTGGGCCCTGTGAGGTGCCGCGTGGCCAGGGGCATCTCCGGGCCAGGGGGTCCTCCAGCTCCCGAGGAGGGAGGCTCAGGCAGAGGACTCAGAAAGTCCGCCCAGGGCCTTTCATCATCTGGTTAGGCCCGAGAGTGAGAGCCGGTCTCCCGTGCTGCACGATTGTTTCACGAGCTGTCCCCAGGGCTGTGCGCGGACACTTCAGTGGCATGCAGGCGGCAAGGCGACAGGCAACCAAAAAAGGGTAAGAGGCATGGAGGCCAGGAATACCAAATCTGTGACATCTTCCCCCAAGGAAAAGAGGCGGTCTCCAGTGTCTTGATAAATCTTGTTTTATCTCCTTTCAAAAGGAACGAACATGGCAGAGCTGATTTATCTTGATGACATTGTCCAGTCTACAGAGTGTCGGGCCTCTGACAGGGAGATGGCTGGTCTGCCTGGCTTCAGAGAGGAAGGGAGGAACGAGAGATTGAGGGACACTGCAGGAGAGGAAGATGAATGCATCAGCAGGCACTTGGGGTGGGGGTTGGGGGGCGTTGAGGGGCGCCTGCTGTATACAAAGCCTTGTACTGAGTGGAGTGTGATGCCAAGGGGAAGAAGGAGCTGGTCACACCCGATGTAGGGTGGTGAGAGATGCCAGTGGGAAACAAGTCACCCACAACAGGCCAGACTAGCTGCTCTGCTGTCTGACGGGAGCAGGGCTGGTGACTGGGAGCTCAGGCAGTAACAGCTGTCTTCAGTGCCCCCCACCCCTGGTCCCCTACCCTTCACCTCTGTCTCCCAAGGCTGCTCATGGGAATGGCCGGGGATTTCGTTCCAGCCTCGCAAACATACTTGGCTGGAGGAGCTGGAGATGTGATGGTCTCATTTGGTCACAGGCCGGGAGCTGGAGGTAAATGCTCCTCTCCCTCAATAGGGAAATCTTGGAGGTACAGTCCATTTTATCCCCAGGGTTCCCCAAAGGACCCGAGCTGTTGGCTCCGCATGGGGATTAACTGGCTTGGTAATACTTCCTTCCCTTCCCTCCCTTTCCACTCCCCCGTGCTGTCTTCCAGGAACTGTTCCCAAATAAACCACCGGAGCTCCTTGTCTCTGGGTCAGCTTCTGGGAAACAGCCTAAACCAAGACAATGCTTAGTACCTCCCTAGGGCCTTGATAGAAGAAGCTCCCATGAACTGATCTTCAAGCTACATTTTTGTTCACATTGCAATGGCCATTCTCTTCATTAGAACTCCTTTAATGCAAGTGATAATAATCCATCTCCAACTAGTTTCAGCAAAATATAATTTTCTTGTTTTATGCATGTGGCAAGTAGCAGGTAGACCTTGGGTTCAGAACAACTATGTCCTGCTGCTCAAATGATGTCAAAGGAACCTGCCCTTCGCCATCTCTTTGCTCTGCATTTCAACCATTCAGGAAGCATTCACTGAGCACCTACTTTGTTCTGGGCACTGCTCCTTTCTCTCTGTGGGTTTCCTTCTCAGGCAATAATAAAGATGGCCACGAGAAGCTCCAGGCTTTCATCCTGCCAGCTCAGCAACTGTGGGAGAGAAAGGGCTCCAGCGGAAGTCTCATGGCTGACTCTCCTTGGCACAGATCAGGTCCCCTGCCCATCTCTGAGCCAATCACTGTGACTCTGGTTGGCTGGGCTGGGTCACATGCCTACCCTTGCTGCCAGGGAGTGTGGTCAGCCCCTTTGAACCACAAGGACTGGGAATGGAGGAGGGAGGCTCTCCAGAGGGAAATCAGGCAGACAGGGACAATGGATGCCTATTACAGTTTTAGGGCGAGCACTTCACCATTTGTCGAGCTATGTGGGTTCTAAGATGTGTCAGATGGACCCCTGATGGATGGAGATTCTCAAACATCTGTAACACACAGCAGAATGGGGCACATGCCTTAGGAATGGACAAAGTGTGTGGAAAAGTGGGAGATTACTCCTAGCTTGGCCAATCAAGGAAGGCCTTCTAAAAAGGGGGCGTTTACCTAGACATTGATGGCAGTCGGGCACAGAAATGTTAGCTGTTAGGACTTGAGAGTCAGACCAAGGAGTTCAAATTCTAAATTGAACCAGCTGAAAAGGACCATGCATTGATCTAGTTGTTAAAATTGAAGTGGGCTAGCTCGGAAGAGCCTGCTGGGGAGACTGCAGGGGCTGGCATTTCCTGTAAGCCCCGCCCACACCTGCAGAGGGGTATGCCCTCCCATCTGCACGTGGTGCCCTGAACTGCTAGAGGCTGTGTGTGCAGAGAGGCTGGGGAAAAGTCAGGCTGGGGCAGCCGCACTCCTTGGCATTGGCCCACGCCCGCCCTAGAAATAGCCTCCCACCTAAACTAAGAATAGGAATTCCTGCCTGGCTGGCAGGAATGAATGCCGGTTTCTCAAGGAGGGAAGGGCCTGAGAACAAAACCCAGCGTGTGGGTTGGGCCGTCCTTTGTATTTCTTTGTGAGGTCACTTGGGAGCCGCACCCACGTCAGGCCATCGATCCTGCCCTGAGACCCAGACAAGGTGATCTGGCCAAGATGGCAGCCTCGGAGGCCACTCCTGGGCCCCAGAGGTCCTGGGCTCTCAGCCTCGGGCGCCTCCTGCCCCCTGGGAGAGGTGACTGCCCATCTCTTGTGTTCTTGATGCTGGGCAGGGGCGGAGGCACTTGGTGGCCAGCTGAAACGCTGAGAAGCCGAGGGAGAGGGGATTGAGAAGGTAGGAGGCCGGGGTCCCATGGCAGCTTTCCCCAGAGTCACCCAGCTCACAGCCCTCTCTGTTCCAGGCAAAATCCTCTTCCGGAGAAGCCACATCCGGGATGTAGCTGTGAAGAGGCTGAAGCCCATTGACGAGTACTGCCGGGTAAGCGTGCGCCTGCAGGTGGGGGAGGGGCCGGCCAGCCAGCCACAGAGTCTGTCTGTCTGTCTGTCCGTGGAGGAGCACCATCTGTCCCAAACCTTCTGCTGTGGTCTAGCACGCCTGGCATTTCCGGGCCAGGGAGGTGGGTCTGAGTGTCCCTCAGGGAGGGGTCACTTGTGACTGGGCCACTCTTTGGGGCACAAGGGCCTTGGGATCACGCTGAGACTTGACTTTTTTCAGGACACGCCTGTGTTTACAAAACGCTATTTTAAATCACTTCCACGGGCTTGGGAGTACGGGGTCTCCTGCTGAAGGGAGATGTTCTGTATGTGACATTTTGCTGGACACAGGGGAGCTGTTGCTTTGAATTCCTTTTGGGACCAGAGTTGTTGGAATCAATTCTGAGTTCAATAGCATCTGAAAGTTCTGAACTGCATATTTGTTTATTCACAGAAGTCCTGATGGTTTCGGATGTTTATGTACACATTTTTACCCGTGCCAGTGCTCACGCTCACACACACACACACACACAGGCGTGTGTGCACTCACTCACAGTGCATGAAAACAGCCAATGCCAATGAAGAGATGAAACAGTGACAGCGATGTCATGAAGAAGACCCCGTTTGTCTTTCTAGACAAGAGCCTAGACTAGCCTAGCCTTCAACGAGAGCCCAGGACCCCTGCAGGGAAAATGCCAGGCGCCCACTTCGTTGGCCTTGACACATGGCCTCTGGATGGCGAGGCTGCCTGGGTTCAGAATCCTCACTAGCTCTGTGAACTTGGGCAAGCCACTGAACTTCCCAGAGCCTCAGTTTCCACATCTGTGTGATAGGGAGACTAGTAGCTCCACAGAAGGTAGTCATGGGGAGGAAAGCAAGTGACACAGGCCAGCAAGTGCAAGCACGGGAGGAGGCAGTCAGCCAACGCCAGCTTTGGATTATTATTACTACAAGGCATAAACAATTTAATGTTCCCACTGGCTTTCGTGGAGATAGGATTTCTTAGTTAAATGAAACCTGTGAGCTGGAATTGAATCCCACTGCCTCCCCACAGGCTCTGTGACTCTGGGCAAGCTAGTCTACCTCTCTGAGGCCCAGGTTCCTTCATCTGTGAAACAGGGTAAAGACAGCTCCCTCGCAGGGCTCCTGAAGGGGGCTGGACGGGAGAATGTGTATCACAGTGTTTGTCGCTTCTCAAATGCTGTGTCCCTGCACAGAGCTGTGGCTGTAGGGTCTGTCCATTCGCTAATACTTTATGATTCAGAAACACTATGCTGAGCAATAAAAGTGTTTAAGTAAGAAGCAAGTTGTTAATGTCCTAACTGGTGTTCCCAAGCCGATAGGCAGACGAGCACTCCCATGGAGTCTCCATGAACCCAAGTTTCAGTTTCATGACTGAGTCAATCATACTTGGTCACATTTTCTGCTGTAACCTAAAAAGAATTCCCAGTGATGAATTCCCTTATGCGAGAGGCTCCTCTTCTTCGGATCAATATTCATTTTTCTCTTTAAAGGGCATTTGCCATTTCCAGTTCAATTGATGGCTGCCGCCTGAGCTTTTATTTCTCCTTATATCTTTCCCAAGAAGTTAAATAAATGGGCACAGACCGGGGAGGAGGGGGCGAAGGGCTGGGGAGGCCTCTCCCAGCTGGGGATTTATGGCTCACATCAGCCTGGGAGGCTCCTGGAGCCCGAGGCATCTGCAGTCTTGGGTCCTGGGCCATCCGGAGGAGGAAACCGATAACATCTTATCTCCAGGGATCAGGCTTTGAACAGGACTCCTGAATCAGGATGAGTTTCAGGGGGGCTCTGGGGCTCCAGTGCTGCTGCTGCTGGCCGGGGGCGCCATTTAAGTGGGGTCTGCAAGAGGCAGGGCCTCCTAACCTGATTAACACAGACAGGAGCTGCTCAGAGCCAAGTCGGTTTCGGCAAGCAGCTAGCCGTCTCACAGGCTGTAATTTACTCTGAGAATGGCAGGGGGGCAGGTCAGTGCAGAAGTGACCTTTAATTCTGCCGAACTAGAAAGCTGGAATCTGTGGTCTCGTTGTCGGAGACCTTGGGATGACCTTGGAATGGTCATTAGGGATAAGCCAGAAATAGTCCTTAGCCACCCCCACCCCAGCATTGCATGTCGCAGCTCTGCCTCCCAATGGTCCAGTCTATGGCCATTCGGGATCCAAGTTTCGCTCAATATCACTGGCCCCTCCGTGAATCCCATGGTCAGTGCCATATGCACTCTGCTCCATGGCCAGCCCTTCCCTTATCCATGTCTGTCCTGGGACACACTGCTGGAGTTTTTATTTCAAATACCCTGCATATGCAGCCATGCTTTGCTGGCCAGCATCTTCTTTGGGCTCCTAGACAGCGTGGACTCCTGGGCCGGGATTTGCTGGGGATTCAAGGGCACCCAATACTGTGAAGCTGGCTCTGCACCTCGAGCAGCCAGCTCCCTTGCCAGGACTCAGACGTGGAAAGTCTGACTGTGCGGTAGACCTCCCCAGACTTCAGGCTCCCTGCCCTCGCGGGCCAGCCAGTCCCTCTGCCCAAAGGTGGTTTCACAGCCCAAATCTCAGTGTTAATTTTAAACGTATATGGAGCAGATTGGATGAGCGTCACGGAAAATTGACCGAGCACCAGCCGGGTGATTGTTTTATGTGGCACTTGAGGGCTGGGTGTCTATCAAGAGGGGTTCCAAAGGCATTTCTTTAACTCCATAAATTAATTTAATGGGCAACACGGTTATGCGGTTAATATTTAATGGTTCTGTGGCCTCAAAAAGTCGAAGACTTTCATCTCACTAACAAGCATGAGCTATACTTTAGGGGCTGGGACTAACAGTTGTGAAAGTGATTCCATTTGCGTGTGAAATACATCTTTGCAGTGTTTGTCTGTGGGATAAAATAAATATCCTGGGGCAGGGGGTGGGTGGGGGGCAGTGAGAGGCAGTGTTTGAGAATGATCAACTCACCCTTTGCCATGGTAATGACGTTTACACAAGTCTCCATTTCCTGATGGGTGCAACTAGAAATTTTTTTTTTTCTTTTTCCCAAAAAGCTAAGATTGCTTCTATTATTCTGCTGTCCAAGAGAGACTTGCTTTCAGGATCAATGGCTTTCTTTGTGGGAGGGATGAGGGGTTGGTTGTAGTCAGACTGGGGGAGAGGGGGGTCAGCCCTGAAGGGGTAAGGATCTCTCCCCACCCCACCCCTGACTCTCTGCACCTCCCAGACTCATTCAGTTTTATCCCCCACTTTCCAGGTTTGAAAACTGAGACTATCTGGGGGTGGTGGTTCTTAGTCCCGGGCATCTCCCTCTCACCATGCATGGCCCGTCATTGGGTCTCACCTTAATAAAGAGAAAAATTCATGTCCCAACCAAAACACACTCCTTGAAGAAGCACCAGAAGCTTCCTGTTATACTCAATCCTAGATACAGGGAGACTGACTTCTTGTGGCCTCATTCTAAGAGTGTTGCTGGTAGGGAGACTGAGGCAGAGAGCAAAGACTGATGCATTCATGCCTTTCAAGTTGGCTGGTACTCTGGGGAAACCAAGTGATAGTATGTCTCCATCTCTGTTAGTCCATATACCAAGGAAAAGGATTTCTAGCCTGAAATAAAACTGATTGTGTCCCTTTTCTCCTTGAAGACCCTTAGAGGAGCCCCATTGCCCATAAGAACCCGTGAGGGGCTTGGCCGGGCCCTCTGTGGGCTCGTCCGAAGTGCTGCTCAGGCCTCAGCATCTGCCTATCCTCCGCGCCCTGCAGTCCAGTCCATCGGAAGTGCCGCCGTTCCCAACTAGCCAGAGTCCCAAGCTGCCACCCTTTGCCCCTGCTAGTCCTTTTCCTGGGGATTCAGCTCCCATGGTGCCCCTTCTAGAAGCCCCCTGGGTTCCCCAGGGAAAGCTGAGCACCCTGCTGTGAAAACTGTGCATGCCTCCAGACAGGACACCAATCCTCTGTAGGAGGACAGTTTCTGTGTGTCCACCTTTTCCAGACCTGGAGCTCCTTGAGGACCACACTTTTTTCTTTGTGTCTTCAATAACAAGCAGGAAGCCCGGCCCCACGTAGGTATCCAGGCAATGTCTGCCGACAAGATGCAAAGGTCGCACGTGAGCAGAGGACACCTTCCAGGAGGGTGACATGTCCCTGGAGCCCCGATGTACTGGGAGCCCTTGTGACATGGCTTCACGTGCTGCTGTGAATGAGATGCTATTTCCATTTCAAAAGGATTTGCAGCCTGGTCCTTCAAAAAGAGAACTCCTGTGTTTGAGATACTGATTTTCAGAAGTTCCATGAGCCCAGCTTCCTAGGTAGGGATCCAGGAGAAAGAGTCCAGGCAGGCCAGAAGCAGCCCAGGGGTGGGGCTGGGGCAGGGAGTGGGTGGCCGGCTTGGTGGGACTCGAGCCCCCTGTGCCATGCCCCCTCCCCCCACCCCCTGCCCTTGGTCACTCAGCTTTTGCCCAGATTTCCATTGATTAGAAATCAAAATGATGTTCCTAAAAAGAGGACAACGTTTGATCCCATGGAAAGAGCAGGATGCCCATGGTTGTTTGGCCAGATGTAAAACATTTCTGCCCTTGGACAGACCTACCCAGAGTGGTAGGCTTCGTGGACATGGTGGGGGGGGGGGTCCCTTCGAAGAAGGTCTGAGGACAGTCTGCCTAGGGGCCCCTCCCATGCCACTGCACTGGAGAAACCAGGGTTGTGTTGGCAGCATCTGGGTGGAGGTCTCAGAGGCACACAGCCAACCTCTGTCTTATCTGAATCTGTGTCTTCTAGAAGGATGACACGGTGCAAATGGTGGCCCATGTCGCTGGCTCTCAGAAAACCGTGTGGGGCAGGCCAGGATCTAGAGACCTCAGGGCAGTTTAGGACTGGGGAAGGGGCACTGGAAGGACTACCTGATGGCAAACCTGGGTAGCTCTTTAGTACTTCCTCACCAGTCTCCCCCAGCCCTAGGCACCCTCTGCCCTCAGCTACTTCCCTTGCCTTATTTCTCCAGATCTGCTCTTAGCCAGCTCACGATCGCCCTGGGCCACAGAATGGCAAGGTCAGAAGGGGATTGAAGTCAGCTCAGCTTACATAGGGTGGGGGCCTGCGTACCCTAAGCAGCCCCATGGGGCAGCGGCCCCCTCCCTAGATGCTGAGGGCTGGGAGGTCATGCTCATTCCAGCTCTTCCCACCTAGCCTGAATCGAAAGGCTCAGTCGGATTGCATGATGGGTCAGACATGGAGTTCACTCCTAGTGGTGCTGTTTGCAGTGCTGGAGCCTTGGACTGTTAGAGCTGGAAGAAGTTTCAGAATGTCTGTGGCCTGGATATGTCCCAGCTGTGTTCCGTGGGCTGTTAGTAGAAATTGTTGGACGACCTGCTCCATAATCAGAGACCTGTGGGTAGTGCGGGAGGCAGTACAGATCAGTAGATCAGATGGAGCACAGGCTCTGGACTCAGATGGCCCAAATGAAAATCTTGCTTACTAGCTGTGTGGCCTTGAAAAGTTACTTAACCTCTCTGTGCTTTATTTGCTTCTGTAAAAGTGGAATTAGTCATACCCTTTGAGATGGGTATATAATGTTAATGTGATGATTAAATGAGCCAATCCCCCAGCAAGTCATGATTATTAATAAGTGCTGACCTAAACAAAGCTCTATAGGTTTCTTCCCTGCAGGACTTCTCAGAGCCTTTGCTGTACTAACGAACATGGTGCTCTCCAAGACCAAGGTGGGCATCTACAAGGCATCATTTCACATGTGCCCACAGAATTCATTTTACCTCCTCAAACAGGTGTTCCATGAGATAGTGTGAGATTCCAGAGTTTGTCTACTCTATCCTAGAAGAAATGACAACCTGAGGTGTGAGGTGGGCTCATGTAGCAAGTGTATAAGGACCAGACTGAAACTAGAATCGAGGTCTCCTGACTCCTATCCCAGTGTTCTTTCTAGTTTGCATCACTGCTCTCACCTAAAGAATAATGACAGCAAAGACAATAGCACAACTAAAACTTCCAGAGTGTTTATTCAGTGCCAGGCACTGTGCTAGGCTCTTCCTTGTCATAATCTCACTTAGCCTCTTAACAAATAGGTGCCATATCAAACCCACTATACTGAGCTCAGAGAGGGCAAGCAGCACATTCAGCATCACACAGCCCATGAACGGTAGAGCCAGGACTCAAACCTGTGTCTGGCTGGCCCTGAGGCCCTCAGGCCCAGACTTAACCACCCAACAGCAGAGATCTTGGATGTCCAATGGCAGACTTTTAGGTCTGGAGGTATCCTTGGAAATAGCCACGTATGGCCCTCTCAGAATGGCTGGATTGGGGAGGGGGGTTCCCCAGCTCTGACAGTCATCATCGGCCCAGGCCCTGGGGACAGACTGCTCAGCTTCAAGATCTCCTGCCAAGTGATTTTGGCCAGAGCTGGGCTTGGCGGTGGCGCTGATGGGAGCTGCCCTGAGCTGAGAGCCTCTCGTCAGCCTGAAATCAGGATGAGCCCTCCATGCGGCTCCCTTCAGGGCTCTCTGTTAAGTAAAGATGCCACGGTGGTTCGACCAAAAGGCCTCTTTGTATGAGGCCCTCACGGCCCACACGTCCTCTGCCCCCAGAATGCCAGTCTCTGTCGGCATGAAGAGCCCCTGTGTTCGCTGCTGGGGCTGCGCGAGCCCTTGGCCGGCCAGGGCCTGCGCAGCGGGTGGGTGGCAGTGTGCTAGGCGGGGAGGGCTCGAGTGCTCCAGGCCGGCTGGAGACCTGCCCTGGCTCCCTTCCCTTGTCCTTTCAGGGAGGTCACCCTGGCAGCGAGTCTGCACGCAGCCTGGGTCCCTGGTCATGGTTCCCTCCTGCGTCCTGCCCTGCCCTGCCCTGCCCTGCCCAGCCCTTCGGTTCTGCCAGGGGCCCTTGCTGCACACAGGCCTCATCTCCCCTCTGTCCCTCTCTGTTGTCTCTCTCTCTCTCTCTTTCTGTAGATCTGTCTACGGAGGTCTGTCTCTCTCTCTCTTTGTCTTTCCCCCCACTCTCTATCTTCCTCCTTTTTTCTCCTTTCTCGGTCTTTCTTTTCCCCTTCCCTCTCCCTTTCCTGGGGGAGAAAACAGCACTGGCCATGTAGGTTAGGTGACAACATGGATGCTTTGGGGGGAGTCCGTACCCATTCTACCTTCTGAGCCCAGGGTTTCATTCCGCCCATGAGCACAATAGCCCCAGTGTCTCCGTCATAAACAAAGGCAAGGGTGTCTGCCTCCAGGACAAAATGTCTACCTCCAGCGACAACGTCATCAGACGTGCTCGTGCAAGGGCAGAGGCTGCATCTGACTCACCCCTGTGACCCCCAGCAGGGCCCCATGTCAGAGGCACACACTGAAAAGCCCTCACTGTTTGTCAGATGATTGGGGTCAAGGGGCCTGGAACACAGTTGCCCATTAAATGTTCATTTCCCTTCTTTTTTGTTTCCTGGCCGTTCGTGGGATGGGATGTGTTAGGGACCCTCGGAAAGCCAGGGGCTCTAGAAAGAACAGCTGTGCATTGCATGATGTCTTACCCGCTGTAGTTGGGCCTTATCTTGCCCAGGTGCGGGTATGACATCAAAAAGGACCATCATGGTGGGATGCCTGGCGCTCAGTGCCACACCTGCACCGTTACCTGACCAGCTCAGAGAAGAATTGAGCAGTTGCTTCCCTGTTCCTTAACACTAGACCTCTCTCCTTGCAGCCAAAGACCACATGGGCATTTTTTTCTTTTTTGCCCCATTATCATGTCCCACTACTATTAGATATTGGGCTTTGGCACAGCAAAACCCTTCTTCATTCATTCATTTGAGCGAATACTCGTTGCCTGCCCGCTCTGTGCCAGGCACTCTTCTAGGATCTAGGGACACGCAGGCAACAGAACAGACTCCCAACTGCATGGAGCTTACCTTTGAGCAACTTCTTTCCCACCCTTGACACAGCCTGTGGGCAGGCCACATGGCCTCCCTGAGCCTCCACCTCCTTACCAGTAACATAAGGATGAGATCTGCCCTCAAGAGGACCGTTAGGAGGTTCCCAGTGACTCTGGACATGGAGGCCCCCGCACGCTTGGTACAGGGGAGATGCCAGATTGGGTCATGGCCCCTGAAGCAGCCCCGGTGAAGGGGGGCCAGCGAGGCACAGACACGTTGACAGGCTTCTGTTCAGCTCTCCCCTGACCTGGAGCCTCCTCATGGGCAGTCCTTCGCAAGTCCCACAGGCCCAAGTTTTCCTCTCCCTTCTGTCTCTAGCCCAGAGTTCCCTTGGCCCTGGCCCTCAGCCCTGCTTTGGCAGTGGCCTCTCCTGTCTGTACTAAAGAATCATTCCAGGATCTTCTCTGCACAGGAGTGCAGCGGCCAGGAGCAGGGCTTCACCTGGTTTCACGCTGCCCCTGCCTCCATGTTGGGCAGGTCAGGGGTCCCAGGTGCCCCAGGCTATGAGGTATGGAGTATGCACTGGTCTGGTACACATCAGGAGCTCTGACCATGTCTGGCAGTCACCCGTCACTTTCCAGCAACAGATTCTCAGGCCTCTCTGGGTGACAGGCTCACAGCTGGCCCATGATCTTACCTGGACAGTTACCCCCACATGGTGCCCATCTTCTCCTCTCACTCAAAAAGTCTTTCCTAAAACCCTGCCAATCTTTCTAGGTACTATCCGATTCTGTCACAGTCCCCTGTTGTCCTTGCTAGAATGATCTGCTTGTCGTTAAAAAATTATGCAATCGGTATTTAGAGACGGTGACTATCTGGCGTGTCTAGAATGTGGCTAGTGGGAGATGAGGCTGGTAGAATAAGACCTTGGGTTTTTGGGCTAAGGATCTTGGACTTCCTCTGTGGCCAGGAGAGAATTCTTTCAGGGTTCACACAGAGTGACTAGTTCCTGAGGGCCCTAAGACTTGAGGGCCATAAGGATCAACGGGCATTGTTTTTTGCTTTGTTGGCTGGTTTTTAGTTGGCGAACTGGCTGGTCGAATGGTTGGTTGGTTGAATTGTTGGCTGAATGGTTGATAGATTCATTGGGGTTGACCATTGAGTTATTTTTATTACTTGACTAGTTGGTTAGTAGATTAATTGGCAGGTTGGCTAATGGGTGGGATAGATGGAGAGCTCTTTCATTAGGTAGCTGATTGTTGATTTGTTGATGAGTTGTCTGGTTGGGGCGGCGGCGGGGTGGCTGGCCAGTTGGCTCTGTCATCCACGGCACCGTCCTTGAGCCTCTGCCGTCACTGGCAGCCCAAGGGGACCCTGCTTGGGGCTTTCATCACACCTAATGCCCTTTCTTCCTGTCTTTCCACAGGCACTTGTTCGGCTGCCTCCCCACATTTCACAGTGTGAGGAAGTCTTTCGGTTCTTTGAGGCCCGACCAGAGGATGTCAACCCCCCAAAAGAGTAAGTGGTAGTTCAGGCCTCTTCTTTGTGCCTTGAGGTGTGGACAAAAGTGGAGGGCAGCCTGGAGAGGCTCAGGATGTGGGGACACAAGGAAAGGGAGAGATGGGCCAAAGGTATACGGACCATTGTTCCCCAGACTCTGAATGCCTTGACCTCATTTCCCTTGACCCCAGGGCTGGCAAGTGAGGGTGTCTGTGCATTTGGGGGACAGGTTTCCCCACACACTCTTTCTAGCTCCCAGGTTACTGTAAGGAGCAGTTGAGGTGAAAGAAAGTCTAACGGTCCCTCTGCTCAGATGTCCAGGGTTGACCATCGTTAGTAGCTGTGTTTACGGAGGAGGTAACTGAGGCCCAGTGAGTTTAGGTGATTGTCCGAAGTCACATAGCTGGTTGGGTGTGTGACAGGCAGGAGGCTCTAACCCAAATCTTTGATTCCTAGTAGTCCGGTGCTGGCTGGTATTTCCACGTTTGGGGAGAAATGGGGAACCAAGCAGGTGTCTCTTCTCTCTGGAATAAGAATGCTCTGGGTCTGGTGGTCAAGAAGATCCACCCGGTCCTGCCGGTTTCTCACCCATACGACCAGGCTCCTCTGTGAGGGCCGCTCTCTCTTGCTCAGAACAGTTCCCTAACAAGACTGGGTTCTCGGTGGAGACAGAACTCTGGTTTCCACCAGGAGCTGATGCACAGAAGAGGGCAGACAGGGAAGGGTGTTGGCTGGGGAGAAGGTGGGGGTGCGAGAGATCACATCCCTCAACATCTCTTTTCCCCTAAAATCTCAAAGTACAAGGATGGGTGGCTGAGAGGCAGATGGGGTAGGTACTGCAGGGGGAAGGGAAAGAATAGTACGAAGGAATGACCTGGGGCAGGTGGGAGGAGGCCAGAGGCCATCTGGGGATGGGGAGGAAAAGCCTGAAGACAGGGTGTGTGTTGAATGGCTCTTAGGGCACCATTGACGGCACTGAGTGTGTGGTCTGCACATCCGAACATGGCAGTCCTGCCGGGAGGGACCCTTCTCTTTCTACTTGTACTAGAGGACTCAGAGCCTAAAATAGCCTGGGCCCTCGGGGGAGAAAAACCTACCAGCCCAGAGGCTTGCCATCTCTCTGAGGGCTGCCTTGGGCTTAAGAAACGAGCAAATGCCACAGACCATCAGAAACGCATCAGTGACGGGTTCACAAGGTAGACTCGAGGAAAGCCACAGAGACTAGGAGGAGTTCACGCCCCACCTCTGCTGCTGACTGGCCACACAGCCTTGGGGCAGGTCACTCCGTGGCTTCCCTGAGCTTCATTTCCCTCCTCTGCCACAAAGGGACCGGGATGAGTCCCTGCTCTGGCTCCCTCCAGCGATTATCCATGAAACTCAGAGGACATGAGGGCTGGGCCAGAGCTTCGTCAACAATGAAACGAGACAGAAAAGCGTGCTCTCGCCAGAGGGAGAAGCATTGCCCTCGCTGCACCTGCTGTGTCGGGCTCACGAGAGGGGACTCGTGTATTCTTATCCCCACATTACAGATGTGGAAACAGGCTCACAGCAGCAGCCTGAACTTGAACCCAGATTTTTCAGGTTCATATAGAGGCCCATACTCTTTCCACAGCTCCCACCTGCCCTCCTGGTTTGGGAGGAGTCAGGGGGACGGTGGTCCCGAGCCTCTCTGTGTCCCTCTCCGTCCTCCCCTGTCTGTGCTCCTGCCTTAGCCATCCTCACTCTCCCAGGGCAGAGGAAGGCTCCAGAGACCCCAGCAGTGGCCCTGGTCCATCCGTCTTTGATGGTCTCTCACAGCCTCCCCTTTCTTTTCCGCTTCCTTCCATGGGGAGAGAAGAGGTGTCCCTCCCCAGGCGATTGTCACTGAAGTCCCATGTGATCACTTGACCCCCAGAGGGGAAAGGGATACTGCTGTCAGGTGAAGCAGCTAGTGCATCGCCACAAAATCACTGACCCTGCCCTTGATCCGCGCCCCTCTGCCCTGTTCTCTGCCAGTCAGCTGCGTAAATTTGTCCTGTGTCACCTCCCCACCTCTGCACTCATGGCAATAGGTTAGCCTTTTGCTCCCCTCCAGAAGGCCCTCAGGAATGATGCCAACCAGGCGTGGGGAGACAGTGGTATATTGGTGAGGCAGTGGGCATGGCTTTGGGGTCTGGGGTCAAGGTCTGCCACTCTAGGCTGTGTCTCTGGTCATTGGCTCCACTTCTCTGTGTTTCTGTTTTCCCATCCCTAACACATGATAACATGGGACTCATCGAGTGGTCCAGAGGGCTGACAGGTAACAAGTGCATGAAGACAACCTGGTCAGGGCTACTGGCCTTAGGTACTACTCTGCAATCTTGTTCATGGAAGCTTGTAGAGCAGAAAGGAATGTGACCCAGTGCTTACTCTCCGCTGCAGGGGAAAGCATTTGCCTCCAAGTCACCATGTCAGGGGGCTTATTGGCCTCTTTCTTGAGGGGCTACTGGCCACCTGGGCTGGCTCACAGCTGGTCTGGCAAGAGATGGCCTGAGACCAGGAAGCCCTCCAGCATGAGACAGGCCTCAGGCTCCAGAAGTAGGGTCAGCTGTGGACAGACAGTTCTGAAGGGTTTCTCTTCCCTGGGCCCTGCTCAACCTCCAGGAGCTGCCAAGAGGGACGCATGTTCCAGACCACAGTGTGCCTGCCGTTAGAGCCCAGACCCGTCGGTGACCCGGGCCTGACAGGCTGACGATTCATCAGCCCAGAGCCTGCACCCCCCTCCCTCAGAGCCGCCTCATACACCTCCCCCTCCATCCTGAAACATAAACACAGGCTCAAGTAACAGTGTATTTTGACTCAGGGGCGACTGTACAGCGGCTTATCAAATTATCAAAGCCTGTGGATTTAATTGGAATTTTGCAGATAACCCCCTGGCTCTTTCAAGTGTGAGGCCACAGGGGCCCTGCGGGTGTTCACAGGGCCTGGGGCGGGGGCCTGGGTCCCATTTCTGTCTTGCTGGGAAGGCAAGGCTGTGGCAGCCCAGCCTTGATGGGGGAGGCGGACCAGGCCCGAGCTCCCCGGCTTTGATCCCAGGCCGCTGGCTGGCTTCTGTGGGGGAGAGCCCAGCCCTTTTCTGAACTGCTAGCCTCGCTCTCAACCCCAGCCCCACACAGAAAGGATGTCCCTTGAGGACGGACCCTTCAGGTGAGCCTGACCCAGCACAGCCGTGGTGGCGCCCCGTCTTCACGTGGCCCCTAGGAAGGCAGCTCCCGTTCTCCCGCCTCCCACCATAAACACACATGTGGGCTGCGGCTGGGCTGGCCCCAAGCCCCGGCATACATGCATCCCTTCCCTCCACCCTGCCATCCACTCAGCACACCCGGGGGGTACTCCCTTCAGAGCGTTTCCAGACTCTGACTGCCTCTCACCGTCTCCCCTGCTGCCACCCTGAGCCACCCTATCTCCTGTCCTCCTCTGGATTCTGGCCTCCTGACCAACCTCCCTTCCTCTCCCCTCGCTCTCTAGGGTCCATCTTCAACATTTCGGAAGGAAGGGTCATTTAGAAAGATCCGTCGGATCATGTCGCTCCTCTCCTCAAAGTCCTCCGTGCCCCCCATGTCCCTCAGAGTCAGGGCCCCCTTGGCCTGGCCCTCCCTGCCCTCGGACGCCACCCTCTGCTGCTCCCCCGCCTGACTCCTCCCCAGCCACACTGGCCTGCCGGCTGCTGCCTGCACCTGCCAGCGGTGTTCCTGCCCTGGGGCCTTTGCACTGGTTCTTGCCCCTGCCTGGGCCATGTGGCCCCTCTCCGAGTGAGCCCCTTGGCCTGTTCCCACACCTCCTTCCAGTCTTTCCTCACAGAGCTGCTCGGCAGGGCAGGCCCCGGCCTTCTGCTAAAATCCACCCAGTGCTTGCCCTCCCCTTCCAGGCTTCGTCCTTCCTCATGGAGAATGAATCACCACTCACACGTGGCCCATTCACTCATGGCGCTCTTGGTCCCTCTCCCTGGGACGTCGGTTCTGGGGAAACGGTAGTGCAGAGTACCCGTACTCTTCGCACTACATCCCCAGCGCCCGGAGCAGATGCTCAGAACGTCTGCCAGAGGAAAGACTGATGGTTTAGCCTTCATTAGAGTCTTACACGGGAGACAGACCGTGACGTGATTCCACAGAGGAGATCAAGGCCCAGACAGCCGCCATAGCTTACCTAGTCAGCCGGCCGGCAAGCAGCAGGGCCAGGATCCAAACCCGGGGCAGGCTGGCTTCAGGCTGACACATCCAACCCAGCCCTAACCTATCACTCCGCTCAGGCTTCCTAAGTCGGGCCCCTCCTCAAAGCACCCCCTTCTGGTCCTCAGCTGGCCAGGGCACATGGAGACCCGCCTTGGCCCCTTTGACTGTTCTTTTCTTTTTTAAGATTTTATTTATTTATTTGACAGAGAGAGTGAGAGAGCACACAAGCAGGGGGAACAGTGGGGCGAAAGAGGGAGAAGCAGACTCCCCACCGAGCAGGGAGCCTGATGCAGGGCTTGATCCCAGGGCCCTGGGACCGCGCCTCGAGCCGAAGCAGATGCCCAGCCATCTGAGCCACTCAGGCACCCCAACAGCTGTTTTCTTTTTGAGGATGATGTGTTCTTGGGAAGCCCAGTGGTTGAATAGGAATGTGCACATGTGTGTGTGTACATGTGTGTACATATGCACGTGTGTGTTTGCATGAGTGAGTGTCTTCATGGGGAGCAGAAAGAAAAAGAAAGATGTTACCTTTATTGGTTACTTCCTCTGTACTCTCTGTATTATCTCATTTAAATTTCAGCCTCCCCCCCAACCGCCTGCCCAGCTGAAGTCAGTACTGTTGTCCCTATTTAGCCCATAGGGAAACAGAGGCCCTGGCGGTACATGGCTTGCCCCAGGTCACACAGCTGAGAAGCAGGGGAGGCAGGCCTTGGACAGGTCCACCTGCCTGAGAATAGGGGGCACCATTCTGTCAGCCACCACCCCACCCCACCTGCCAGACACACACGCGCACACACCCCTTGGGAGGGAACTGAGCATCTCTCCCTC